TTGAAGAGCCAGACCTGATTTCAGAAGCACAAAGAAAGGCAGATCAAATTTTGAGGGAAGCACAGTTGAAGGCAGAACAGATTTTGAAGCAGGCTGCAGAGAAGACTTCTGCCCCAGTGGTTCAAAGAAAGCTTTCAGACCAGTTCAAGACACCAGATAGACCAACATCAACCTTCAAGAGTCCAGCTTCCAGCAAAGAAAGTCTTGAAGAGAGCCAGGGTTCCAATTCCAGTGGCAAATCCCCTTTGTCACAATTTGGTTTGGAGAAGTTTTTTGGCAGTCCAAAAGAGCAGGCAGAAGCAAGACCTGTTTTGGAGAGAAAGACTTTAGGGAAAGAAAGAAAGAGATCTATTAGAGAGGTTGAGCTTGCTGAGTTGAAGCAGCAATATATCAAGAGATTGAAGGCAGTGGAGGATTTAGAGGCAGAGAAGGCTATTGTTCCAAGTGCTGTTGAGATAGGAAAGCTTGGAGGTAGACCACATGTTAATGTTGAAGAGCTCAGCGCTGCTGGATTGAAGAGTAACAGGAGAAGAGCTGGGATGCCTTCAAGGAGAAAGGAGTTCTCAGTTGTAGAGAAAGTCAAGATTGCAGAGGACTTGGAGCATATGCAAAAGGAATCTTCCAACAGCAGAGAGCTCTTCAAGAAAGGCAGGTCCAGATATGGCCTAGACACCAGGACCTTGAAGCACCTCATGTCCAAAAAGAAAGAGTTTGAAGGTCAAAGGTCAAAGTTGAAGACAAAGAGAGGCAGAGTTGTAGGGTCAAGGTTTGTCAGGGCAAAGGGCGCAGGCAGAAAGTTGGAGTTTCAGAAGGAGATTGACAAGGTCAAAGAAATGGTTTCGAAGGAGAGGTCCAATGGAGTTGTGCTTGCAAAGGGTGACCTTCTGGATGAGTTTCTAGCACAACTGATTTCTTCAGCCCAAGAATGTTTGAAGCAAGCAGAGCTTTCAAAGAGTGAGGGCCAGAAGAAGTCTTGGAACCTTGAAGCCAAGGCCTGCTTTGCCAGAAGGGACAAGCTTCTAGCCAGCAAGAAGTACAGGCAGTCTTTCTCCAGCAGGCTTTTAGAGTACTGTGGTGCAAAGGAAGTTGGCAAGGAATTGGTAAGCCCTTTGAGTGCACTTGAAGAGAAAACGCGTGTTCAATTGTCTTGGCAAGCCATTGACAGAATGGTGTGGCTTGCAGGTGCATCCCCTGAGGCAGACCTCTTGAAGTCTGATCTCTTTGCAGAGCCCAAGGATGTGTTGAAGCCTGGAGTTAGGGAATTGCTGACCATTGGCTTTTCAGACCAGGTCCCACTTTGGGCCAAAGCTGAGAGTTCAAAGATGGTGGTTTCTAGCGAAGAACTTTCAGGCACCACAGTTGCAGACAGGAAGCAGTTTGATCTGTTCAGGAAAGACCTGCTTCAAGCTGTTGATTTCTTCAAGCCAGAAGACAGCCAGGTGGTGACCTTGGAAGGCACAGAAAAGTTTGCAGGTGGCAGGAGGATTGCAGGAAGTTTGACTGCCAAGGGGATTGCAGAGAATTCCAAGTTTAGAATCACTTATGAGGCGCGCCAAAGAATTGTAGGCTTGCCAGTTGGGAGTGATGGTGTTAGAGGGGAGGTTGCTGCTGGACTTCTGGTTTTTCCAGGGGTGCATGCAAGGCTGTCAAACCTTGACAGCAATGGCAGGTGGATTAAAAATGAAGAGTTTGAAGTTGCAGGTTGCAAGATTGTTCACAAGGCAGGTGAGGCTTCAAAGGCATTGAAGTGGGCTGTTGATTTGAGGAAGGAAGCTCCTGAGCTATTTGAAGGCAAGCTGGACATTATGAGTCAGCCTTCCTGCAACCTTGACAGTGTTCTTTTGAAGTGGGTGATTGAAGACCAGATTGAAAAAGAACCACTTGCAGTCTGGATTAGAGATAGCTTTGCAGCCATTTTTTCAGAGGAGATTAGAGAAACCCAGGCCCTTGGAAACCAACTGTCAGCAATTCTTTTAGGCAAGACAACCCAAAGGTTGCAGCTGACAGACACAGATTTTGCCAGAGCCTTCAAGGCTGATTTCAGAAAGGCTCTTGCAGAGAAGAGGAGTTCTCACAGGCTTGAAGGCAAGGAGGGCACTTTCAAGATTTCCTACAGGACAGTGATTGAAGCCACCCTTCAAGCCCAGGAGGCCGCAGTCAAGAGAAACTTGGAGACTTCATGGGTGATTAGAGGAGCCTTCAGAAATGCACTTGTCATTTATAGGCCAGACTTCAACAATGGTACTTTGCAGCCACTTGAAGCAAAGGATTGTGGTCTTGAACAGTTGGAGCTTGGGAGCCACAGGATTCCAAGTGAATGGTTGGTTCCCAGAAAGAGCTGGTTGCAGAATGGCATTCCAATGGAGCCAGAGTTCGCTTTGAGCCAGGCAGCAACCAATGTTCAGAACCTTCTAGACTGGGCTGCTTACACAGACCCAGCCCTTGAAGGTGAGGAAGAGAATCCCCTAGACATTGATGATTCCATTGAAGAGTCTCTGGGGCTTGGTTTGAAGAATTCCTTGTTTTTGAGACTTCATCCAAAGGTGAGGAAAGCAGCTTTTTTAGCTCAGAAAGATGCAAAGTTTTCAGCAGTACTTGAGAAGTCCAAGGAAAAAGCTGCAAGACTCCAGCAAAGGGCAAGTTTGAGGCCTGGTTTGTTGAAGGCTCTTAGAGAGAAGCTTAAAGGAATGAGCAAGAAGGAAGCAATTGAACAGGTGGTTGCCAAGAGCAATGCAAGCAAGAAGAAGATTTCAGCAATCTTCAAGCCTGGTGCAAAGACAAAGCCATCCATTTTCAAGAAAGCAGCTCTGAAAAACCTCAAGAAAAGCAAGGCAAAGCAGGATGCAGACAAGAGCATTCCAGCAGCCTTGAAGGATTTGAAGAAGAAAGAGCTGGATGCAATTGTTGAACCTTCTGGGGAGACAGTTCGTTGTAGAATTGTTTCAGAGAGTGAAGGGAAAGGGAAGTATGGGAAAGAAGGGATGGTTGAAGTGAAGAGCTTGGAGAAAGATGGGAGTGAGTTTTGCCAGCTCATTGGAGACAAGCACGAAGTTGTGACTTGCAAGGTTTCAAGTCTTCTTGTCAAGCAAGACACATGGCTTCCAGTGAAGGAGTGGGTGTCTTTCAGCAAGCTTTCTAGAAAAAGTAAAGGTGAAGCCCTTTACATGATTGGCTTGAAGCCAGAGCCCTTTGCAAGCGCGGGTGATGATTTGATGGACCTTCCAAGTCATGATGAGAACTTTGATTCTCAGCATATGCTGCTTGGCTTTGAGCTTTTGAGGTGGCAGTTCCAGGACTACTTGAAGGAGGTGGCCTTCATAGACCCTTATTTGACCACAATGTATTTGAGAGATGAGGATGTTCCACAAAGAGAGTTGTTGAAGAAGACCCTTCAAGACTTTGGGGAATCAGATTCGCGGGTGCTTCTTTGTCCAATTTGGAGTGCAAAGACAATTTGTCATTGGACTCTGCTTACAGCTGAGAGGGTTGAAGGGAAGTGGTCTTTTAGGTACAGGGATACCTTGGCAGACCCAGTAGAAGATTCCTTGAAGAAGGCTTGCAGTATAGCCAGCCTTTTGCAGAAGGAAGAGGTTTCTTTGAAGATTTACAACTCTTTCCAGCAAGTTGGAAGCACATGTGAGCTTTGGACTCTTGCCTACATGATGGAAGAGGCTTGCAGCTTGTTTGAAGGCTTGGCTTCCAGAGGACACCCAAACATTAACCTTTTGAGGATGAAGCTTGTAGCTTGGTGGCACCAGCTTTCAGCAGAGAAGCAAAAACTTGAAGAAAGCAAGAAGGAACTTGAAGAGAAGGCAGAGAAATTGTCAGTCCAGCAAGAGAAAGCCAAGGAGAAAGCCTTGCAGCAGATCTCCAAATTGAAGAGCCATACCAGTGCTGCAGCCATTAAAGCCCAGCAGATGCTTGAAGCCAATAGCAAGTACTTCAAGCTGCAACAGCTGAGTGAGGCTTCAAGGTACAAGATTGAAGGCACCCTTTCAAAGGGAAACATCTGTTCCAAGTGCAGATGGAACAGTGGATGCTTGGAGTGTCACCCAGGCAAGGCTTTGAAGTACTATTGGAGCAAAGAGGCACATGCAAAGAGCCTTGTTCCAGGACCAGATCTTCCAAAGAATTGGGAGCACCTTTCAGGACAGGGGGGGGGGGAAGAAGCAAACACTAGCCAGCAAAGCACACACACAATGAAAAAACACATCCAAAAGCATCAAATCTCAATGGAATCTCCAAATTTTTAATAGAAATCTCCATCCAAAAGCCTCCAAAAGCATCAAATCTCAATGGAAATCTCCAAATTTTCAATAGACATCTCCATCCAAAAGCCTCCAAAAGCATCAAATCTCAATGGAAATCT